TCAACATCTTTAATAAGTGGTCACCAATCCTCACCACCTTCTCTCCCTTTCCTCCCAATCACTGCCTAAATCCCTCCAATCTCACTTTTCCCCACAATCATATGGTGACCATGTAATTTCTCAGAGACACTGTCTTACTTATTAATTCAATGGACTTTCCCCCTCTGTCCTGATTCTGTATGATATGTCTGAAGAATGTTGAGACTGAGTTTCCTCCTTTGACTCCTGTAACACCCCTCTGAGGTTCCCTGCTTCCTCTCTGAATATTCTCTCCATCTCCTTCAAGATCACCTCCATTGCAGCCATTCGTTATATACCATGCTCTTCTAGTTTCTAACCTGGACCCACTTTCAAGTACTTCTTATGAGATCTCATTTTCCACAGATTAAATTGATCAGAAAACACCCTGATTTGTATTCTCAGTTCAGACTCCTACACTGTGGACCTGAACATCAAACTATCAACTAGGTGTTTATCTGGATGCTTCACAGGAACCTCAATACCAATATACCTAAAACAGAACTTGACCATACTGTATCTCCATTCTTCCTCTGTACAATCCCCACTTGTTGTTAAAGTTATACAAAACATTAGGACACTATGGCCCCTCCCTTAAAATAGTGTTAGCAGTTGTCTAACCACTTTCCTTGCTTCCAAAGCAATCTTTCAAAAGTCGAATCTGATTATTCATAAAGCCCTCCAATGGGGGTGTACCACTATCATACTCCCTAGAATGGCATTCAAGGTCTTGGTAAATTAGTCCCTATGTTTTTCTCTAATTTCGTATCTTGCCACTCATGATGCTTGGAATTCTTAATGTCTACTATGCACTTGCACTCATTTTTGCCTTTTTCCTCTTTCCCTCCCTTCCTTTCCCTTTCTATTGTACCTCCATAAACAATATTATTCCCTTGCTCTCTGTCTGGAAAACTCCAACTAAAGTTTTAAACAGTGGAAGTTATATATGTGTATGTGTGTGTTCTTCCAATGGGTATCCCAAACATCCTATCTTCCCTGTCAAAATAACCTTACAATACAACCAGAAACCAAGCACTCAGAGAAACCAGCACGACCACACTGGGTCTTCGGCTTAAGCTCTGTCCACCCCTTTGATCATCAGGATAGCATAGCACCCTGATAGAAACTCTCTTTACAAAAGCAATCAAGTGGCAAGATTTATGACTTGAGGCTAAAGTTTAGAAATAGCACACTTTTCTTTTAATCCTTCTTTCCAAATGTTACAAAGAATCAGTTCCTAAACGAAAATTTCTATACTATTCACCCAGAATATATTACCACAATTCTCAAAGAACGTTATTTTTCTAAGTTTTAGCCAAACCTTTTCTGGCAAGAAGGCAGCAATTTTACTCAGTATCTAGTTTGTGGCAGGTATTGTGAAGTGCTTTAAATGCTATTCTAAAAATGAACTAACTATGAAGTACGGATGAACGTCCCCAACAGGCCAGTAAACCAAAGTTCACAAAGTACATTTTCCCAGATTACAGGGTCACACTATAGGAGATCTGGAATGTAAATCCAGATCAGTTTGGTCCCAGAGACTGTTCTTTCCATCACCAAAGATGTAATTTCAAAACTGTTACAAGGAGGTACTATAGTTGGCAGAGGTAGAAAACAAAGCTTATGATGAGGCTCCAGGGAACTCCTTCCCATCATGACAGAACTTTGCTTTAATCTGTTTACACAGGGAGTTACAAGTATAATTACATTTGAGGAAAAAGTGTTCCTATGTTTGAGAAAAAGTAGTTTCTAAAATGTCTATACTAAATTGATATTTCTACTGCTATCTGTATCTCTGAGAAGAAAAAGATAACAAGCCTTTGTTAAGGCTGTAATTTTTCTTAAAATTAGTTATTGACTAATTTTCCCCTAAGAAAATATTTAATGCATTTAAATTTGACTATCATTTCATCTCATTTCACCTCCAGCTGAGGAAAGGGCCAGTAAGGAAAGAAAAGCCAAGAGCTACACAAACACAAAATATTAACATATGCATAAATTTAATATATTCGTTTTACTACACAGCACTACATTTTTAAAGTATGTATTAATGTAAAGAACCATTGGTGACTCTTCTTTTCAGTGAGATAGTCCTGAGCTACAATTCTTCCATTTGTACATATCAACTGATAAATAGTGGCAACAAGAAAAAATGGGGTTCCTTGTCATTAGTGGCTTAATTTAACATCAGTCATATAAAAACCACTGCCTATTAAAAGATGCCAAAACCATCACCAAAGTTGTATGATTTGCTGTAGACTCCAATTCTAAAATAGGACCAAAATGATACATTTTATATAAAGTAGATGCCAAGCTAAGGAGAACAAGCCCAATAATCAGTACTTTATTTAGCCCTAGGTTGAAGGATCTATAGACTGCTGTCCAGATACAATTATTTTACTTAGCCCATGACTCATTTCTGAAAACGAACTTACTTTCACAGTTCTGACAATGTTTGGACAGGATTTTTTTGATAACTAAAGTTTACAATACAGGTTACATTAAGTGCACAAGCGGGCGGTAATGTCGTACAGAACTGCCTCAATTACCTTACCTGCTCTCACTAGCAATGTGAAGCTTGCCTTCTATCTGAGTTCTGAAAAGGAGGACTCTGGTCATAAGGGAAACCATTCATAGACAACCTAAAACAGTTCACGAAGTGAATAAACCAGGTGCCACTTAAGACAATATGAAACACAGGATTAAGAGTAAATGGTTCATCTGAAAATCTTGTAGTTGAGCCCTAGGGCTCTTTCCCACTCCCAAGTAGTCAGAGGATTCTAGGCAGAAGTAGGAATCGAAGCAAAAAAGGATATCAGAAAAGTAAAGAGATGCCAAAGAAAATTTCTGAAAGCAAGATTTGGAAAATGAAGGGTTTCTATTTGAAATAGACTAAGAACTGAGGAGTAAGAGGCCACTGAATGTGAATACAGAGAAGTCACTGTTTAGCTGGAGTGCACAGGTGTTACACTCCTGCAATCCCAACTACTGGAAAGGCGGACACAGGAGGATTGCCAGTTCAAGGGCAGCCAGATCAAAGTTTGTAAGACCCTATCTTAAAAACAAAACAAAAACAAAAGGGGTGGGTGCATGCCTCAAGTGGCAGAGCACTTGCTTCATATGTGAGAGGCCCTGTGTTCAAACTCCAGTACCACAAGAAAAAAAGAAAAAGAGAGAGAGGGAGAAAGAAAGAGAGGAGGGGGAGAGAGAGACAGACAGACAGACTATCAGTGACCTTAAACATACTGGTTTAACGGAATGGTTCCCTTTCATTCAGCAGCCACTTAGCGAGCATCCACATAGAACAGGGCATAAAAACATGCCTTCCCTCTTTTAAATTAAAGTGGATATGACTGCAGCAAGAGGCTAAGGCTACGAGACAATGGTAAAATGTGGGCTAAATATTTGGATGTTTCTCCAGCTAGATACAAAACCTTGTGTAATATATAAGAAACATATTCCAATAGATGAATAAATGCAGTTTTAGAAGTAGCTACCAATGTTAGCAAAACAGCAAAATCTGTGAGGCATATAAGTGTTTTTGTTTTCTTTTCTTTTCTTTTTTGGTGGGACTAGGGTTTGAACTCAGGGCTTTGCACGTGTAAAGCATGTACTCCTACTATTTGAACCACACCTTCATAGTCCATTTTGCTCTGGTTACTTTGGAGATGGGGGTCTCACAAACTATTTGCTTGTTCTGGCCTCAAACCACCATCATCCCCATCTCAGCCTCCCAAGTAGCTAGGATTATAGGAGTGAGCCACTGGTGCCCAGCTTAAAAGTAGTACTTCAAAAATAAGAATTTAATGATGTCATATATGATGTATATTATTCACATATCTGTTATGATTCAGACCTGAAAGGGAAAATGCTGCACTTTTTTTCTGGCATTAAAAATTCCAGCTAATAAGATGGAAGCATGGAGAGAAATGTCAAACTGCAATGGAGTATTATGTTTCAGAAAAATACTCATTAGAAAGAAAAGAAATGGCATGTTTTATGCCACTGGCTAAATGAAAACATCTTCAATCACAAATGTTCAAAATAGCAATGTAATTTGTTGTTGCTAACCTTTTTTTCCCCTTCAGGCATTGCCTGATCCAGGTTGAAGAAACCCTACCAGCAGCTTCCAAAAGGTTTAAAAAAAAGTTATGTGGGCCAAAATATTATACCAGAGAGAGAGAGAGAGAGAGAGAGAGAGAGAGAGACCTGAACCCTAAAGGCCCCAAATCAAATCCTAAGAATCTCAAGACTGTGAGTGGTATTTACTTAGGGCCCACTTATAAGAAGAAAGGTTACAATGTTTAGTCATTTTCAACCACTCATCAATAACTATGTAGGTAAGTATCTTACACATTTTTATGCTTGTTCTGTAGAAGCACAGCAGGCCTGTTTATACATGAGCTGACCTAATAGATCCATCATGTAGCATATAGCATAGCAGTGATTAACAGGAATTCCTACCCCAAACAGCACTAGTTGTTGTCTGCTGCATTTCAGAAAGCATAACCTAAATCTTAGAACTTCCTAGGGAAAAGAGACCACGCAGGTAATGTGATTTGACTTACAGATTAAAAAACTAAGGCACAAAGAAGTTAAATATCTCAACTGAAGGCCCTACAGATAGTTAGTGGCAAAGCTAAGACCACCATGCCTTACTCAGAGTTCTTCACCCCCACCCTGCCCCACCTTATGATGAAAATATTCAATAGGGCTGGGCTGGATTTTGACACAAATTAATAAAATGCAGCTGTTTTTGAAATGTAAAATAAGATGACAGATTCAAAAAGGAAGAATGTGAAATAGTTAAAAATATTTGCTTGGGGGCTGGCAGAGGGGTTGAAGTAGTACAGTGCCTGCCTAGCAAGCATGAGGCCCTAAGTTCAAACCCCAGTATTGCCAAGATAAAACAAAAAACAAAAATATTTGCTTGACATTAATAACATTATAATTAAATTAATAATATCAATGTAAAACTATACCTTTACTGCTTCTGAAGAAAGTACATTTTCCTTCTTCGGACTTGTGCTCATGAGCTCATTTTCAACACTGAAAAACAAAAACCACAGATTCTTTTGAAATTAAAAAAGAGTTATTCAACCATACAGTCTGTGTATTTGAGACAAAAACTGAATGGTCCATTATCTGCAATGCTGAAAGATTCCTATACAAAATGTCATACTAAGAATATGCTGATTTCAATCTCTAAACTTGAAAAATACATTCAAAAATGCTTATCCAGGCTTTGAAAACTTTTTTGAGTTTATACTACTTCCTATCATCTCATGTGGATAATCACATCACAGCTAATGACACAACTGAACAAGCACCAGTGTATGGCTATCCTAACCTTGAAAGCAATAGTCCTCTAAGCCTTTATTTATGTCAAGGTTCTCCATGCCTGATCATTTCACAATGCCTATACTGAGGATTATTTCTGTTCAACAAATCATAAACATGTACGCTCATCTACTGAATTCTGGGAATACTCAAAAAGAGATGTCAACTTCTATAGCCCCAAATGTGTCCCAGATGGCACCTTAAGAATCCATTTTTATGAAGAGTCACTTTTCATCATCCTCTGTATAGAATACCTTCACAGATGCCTCAACAGATGCCACCATAAACTATTTGGCCCACCCAAACACATACATATCTTAGATCTAAATATTTCTACATCTGTGTTTAAACATTATCTTATTTTCATACTCTCGAAATTCAGCACAAATTGCATAGCTCCAATGTGAAGATCATCATGACTCCCTACCATGGGCCAAGGACTGTACGTGGCTTGTAGCTCATTAAAAACAAATTATGTCAGAGTCTTCACAAAACTCAGTCTAGTTGGAGTCTGATGTGCACATAAATTTAATGACTGGTGAATGGACAACTACTATAGAGCAAAGAAGAAATGATCAATTTTGCCTGCTGAGTAAAGTACACTTAGAGGACGTACAAAGTCAGGGGGTATGGAGAATATGGCATTTTTGGGAACCCATGTTTTGTTTTTAATGTAAGACTGGAGTACAGAACTTGTGACAGGCAAAGATAATCCTGAAAGGGAGGAGAATGAGACCAAAGGTTAGTTTATGTCAGACTATGAAAAACTGGCTTGACCCGTTAGAGAATGTGATCTTTGTCCTACCTGCAGTGGAAAGACTTTAGAGCTTTGAGGCTGGGGACAAGAACAGAATGACTCCAAGTGGACAAATCATGTTATCAATGGCCACTGGTGGTAGAGCAACCAAAAGGAAGAAGCATCAGTAGCTCACATCAGATAAAGGTTAATCCCAAAGCAGATGGGATGGAAAGAAAAGATACAATTTAGCCTATTTGGATTTTTCTAGCCATAAAATGCAGTGCTCCTATGTAGAATATCCAAAGAACAAATGGTGATAGCCAAAAGACAGGAACATATGACAGAAAGACCATGAACACCTGGAAAATACACTGGATTAAAATGTCATTAAGTGTCAGACACAATGCAGGAACACATGGACCAAAGAGATACCACTATGTTGTTATTAAACTTTTAAATATCATTAAGAAAAGTAAGGATGTAACAATACAGAATTGTAACCTGTATAAATAAATGTGTATAAAATAATGTTTCAATGCTTCACTTTTTAAAATGTGAATGGGTTTTTTATTTTTTGAGTTTTTTTTTTCCCCATTTTACTACCCTCTCCTGTTACAAGGTTGTTTACAATTCAGGGGATTTTTTTTTTTAATTATACAGAAATTGATATTTGTCTAAGCTCAAACCAAAGAAAATCAAGTGGCAAAATACATGTAAAAGAATGCATTACAAAGATTTGGAGTATAAGGAACAGGTCCTGTCTGGAGGGGGTGCTGGTACCACTGGGAGAGGGAGAGGTGGGGAAAGGGTGTAGGAGGGTGAATATGGTGCAAATACTGTGCACACATATGTGTAAATGGAAAAATGATACCTGCTGAAAACTATTCCAGAAATGGGAAGAGAGGGGATAAAGAAGAATGATAGAAATGGTGAATTCAAATATGATATATTTGACATATTATAACAACTTTTGTAAATGCCATAATGTACCCCCAGCAAAACAATAAAAATAAAATAAAGAATAATACTGACCTTGATCTTGTAAGTGAATTCTGTAACTACAGTCTACTTTGAATGGCCTACCTAAAAAACAACTAAACATACACCTACCTAATTTTAGTATATAATTCTTGCTTCATGATTCCTGAAATCTTCTTCATTTAAAGTGAAGCTACAAACATACTGCTTTAGTGAGACTGTTAAACTGGTAAAAGTTCCTCTAATACAAAAGCTCTGCAGAAAATGCAGCTATAAGTTCATGGAAATAAGGTAGAAAGAGTTTTCAAGTAACTATAATTACTTCTAAGTATACACTATTACACACACTCCAAATGCTAGAAAAACAGAACAGCAATTCAGCACATAGCACAACACAAATAATAATAATAATTTAAAACTGAAATCAGTAATGGAAATATTACTTGACACTTCTTCAAGGACTATGAAACTAATTTCCTAGGTTTAATTTCAATGATTTTCTTATTTCTAAACTAAAGCTTTAAAATGTGTTGAGTTTTAAAGCAAATAACACATTTTAAAACTGTGGTTAAGGCCAGGGGCAGTGGCATATACCTATAATTCCACAACTTGGAAAGCTAAAGTAGGATTGTGAGTTGGAGACCAGCCTGGGCTACTTGGCAAGTTAAAATTGTGGTTTAGTGATAATAATCATTGTTTTAACTAAAGGTTTCATTACTTTTTCTTCAGATAATTAAAGTTCCATCTTAATTGATTTCTTTTTTTAATTTATTTTTATTGCTGTATGGGGTGGGGGGTACATTGTGGCACCTACAAAAGTTCTTCAAATATATCATATTTGAATTCACCCCCTCCATAATTCTCCTTTATCCCCTCTTCTCCTCATTCCTGGAATAGTTTCAACAGATACATTTTTCATTTACATATATACATACACAGCATTTGTACTATATTTACCTCCTTATACCTTTCCCCATCTCCTCCCCACCTCACTGGTACCAACACCTCCAACCAGAACTGTTCTGCCCTCCTGTTCTCTGATTTTGTACAAAAAAAGAAAAAAATGACATTTTTGTTTAAGATAGCTACATAGGGAATTTCCCTGTGGCATTTCCATGTATACATGTATTCTAACCTAAATTGTTCATCTCTATTTCTCTTCTTTCTACCTTAGTCCCCTTCATGGTTGTTTCAACAAGTTTAAAAATTCTATATTCATTCTTTTACAGAAATCACATAAACCATAGTCACCTTCTTTTACCCTCCCGTTCTCTTACGTGACCTCCCAATAGCGTGGATAATTTTTCATAATAATGCTTGTATTTGAATTAGGTCTGTATCCCACATATGAGAGAAAATATGCAGCTTTTGGCCTGGCTAACTTTACTTAAGATGTTCTCCAGACCCATACAAATGCCAAAATTTCATTCTTTTTTGTGGATGAATAAAATTCCACTGTATATAAATACCACATTTTCTTAATCCATTCATCCTTAAGATATACCTGGGATTGCTGGATCATATGGCAGGTCTATTTTTAGTTTTTGAGGAGTCTCCATATTGTTTTCCATAGTGGTTGTATTAACTTACATTCCCAGCAGCAAAGTATGAGGGTCCCCTTTTCCCCACATCCTTGCCAACATTTGTTATTTGCGTTCTTGATGGTAGCCATTCTCACAGGAGTGAGGTGGAATCTTGTTGGGTTTTTTTTTTAATTTGTGCATTTCCTTTATAGCCAAGGATGTTGAGCATTTCTTCACATGTTCTCCTCCTTTGAAAAAGCTCTGTTCAGTTATTTTCCCCATTTCTTCACAGGGTCATTGATTTTTAGGGAATTTAGTTTTGTGAGTTATTAATAACTGTATATTCTAGTTATTAATACCCTGTCAGATGTATAGCTGGCAAAGATTTTTCTCCCATTCTGTGAGCTGCCCGTTCAATCTGGTGACCTCTCTTTTGTTGTGCAGAGCTTTTTAATTTCATATGGTCCTACTTGTCAATTCTTTCTCTTAGTTGCCGAGCCCCTTGAATTCTGTTTAGGAAGGCACTGCTATGCCTATTAATTCCAATGTATTCCCTACTCTTTCCTGCACTAGCTTCAAAGTTTTGGGTCTTATATTAAGGTCCTTAATCTACTTTGAGTTTATACTCAGAAAGGGTGAAAGACATGGATCTAGTTTCAGTTGTCTGCATGCATATATCCAGTTTTCCCAGCAACATTTGTTGAAGAGATGGTCTTTTCTCCATCGTATGTTTTTTGGTGCCTTTGTCAAAAGTCAGGTCGGTGTAGCTGCATGGATTCATATCTGGGTCTTTTATTCTGTTCCACTAGTCCTCATGTTTGTTTCTGTGCCAGTACCGTGCCGTTTTTATTGCTATGCACTGTAATATAGTTTGAAGTCAGGTATTGTGATACTTCCAAAGTTTCTCTTTCTCCTCTTGATTTCTTATACATTTAGACTTGCTCTGCTTCATATAAAGTCCAAAGTAATTGTTAAACTCATCATGACACTTCCCCACTCAAAAATCCTTCAACAAATAAGTCTCCATCAGCTGGTAAACAAAATGAAGGGCCCTCAGCATACATATACAAAATTCTTTATGACCTGGTTCCAGATGCTATACCTGTCACATAAGACACTTCACATTGCTGGAACATGTCAAGTTCACAGCCCAGCAAACTGCAAACCACTTTCTTCTCCTACCTATAACATCTTTTCCCACTGGAACCAACTCATAGTCCTTTAGTTTAGTTCTAGCTTTGCCTGTATTTTTGTGCTCCTATTGTACCCAGCAATACCTGCACTTTACTATAAAGGCCGTTTGTCCAATTATGCAACTAGAATATGAACTTATTAAATTCAGTAAATGCATCATTCATGTTTATCCCAGAGCCTAGCATCAAGCATGGTACTGTGAAGTCAATCGAGTTAGTCTTTTTTTTTTTTAATGAGTAGTATATAAATCTCTTGACAGAGCACACTAGGCTTTC